GTAATATATAAATGTTTACAAATGGTTTATAGATCTTAAAAATGTTTTTATTTTAGTAATAAGATAGATACATTTTGGGTTAGGTTAGGTAAGAATAATGACGATTATTTTTGTTACACTATCTAAAGTATGCGGTTTAGGTGATTCATGGGCTCAGACACAAATATGAAAACTAATTAAAAACATCAATGTAAAAACAATACCTTCTCAGCTCTGCATCGAAGCTTAATTATTCATATATCAAAAACTAAGTTGTTTATTCTTTATTCTATATCGCTATGATAAGTTGGTTTTTTTCAAATTATACTTATAACTATTAAAATAACAGTGCAGTAAAAAAAGGTTAAGAGATAAAAAATGGATAACATTTGTTTTTACGAAGTTTAATACATACATTTAAATTTAATAAATTAGATAATTATCAATATCAATGTAAAAATGACACCTTCTCAGCCCTGAATTGAAGCTAAAATATTTAACTATTAATAATTTATTTTACAATTATGCTGTAACTAAAAGATAATATGTACGCATAACATTGAAAAAAAAAAATTCAGATGATCTTTACTAAAATATGTATAGACTATAGTGAAGCTAATCTGGTATTCTCGTATCTGTATTACAAAGACAACGAACATATTATTGTTTCTCTTAAATTACTAGAAATTGAGAATACGAAAAGAGTAATAAAATGTGATAGATATGCGTAATTATCTTCTGCTAATTTTTAATAAATTAATCTTTAGTGTTTAAGTTCCCTGAACTAATAAAACAAGTAACAGCCCCAATAAATAGAATTGATCGAAGTTAAAATGGTTTTTTACAACATGGGCAAATTGTCATATTCATAATTTACATTCTAGGACAAATTAGAATAAAGCGAAATAAAACAGAACTATGTCAGTTTATGTTATAAAATCATAGTGTATGGTGTATAAATGAGCACCAAAAAGATAGGTTTAAGACTTTTATATAAAATATTACAGGAGTGTAGTAAAATTATATTTTCAATTTATTTTTATATAGTCGCTATAATCAATGTTATGTGTTTCGAAATTTTGTAATAAATACAGAAAAGAATTTCATCCTTGAGGGTAAAAGAATTTTTAAATTCTTTTTTGTTATTCCGTTTTTACCAAGATAAATTGCTTACCATCCGTTAATTGTGCTTTGCTGCATATAGTTGAAAAATAACTATTAGATTAGTAATTTATTTTATAATAACACACTGATATGAGTATAATATGGTTTTGAAATACAACAATATATTGTTCTAAAGTGAATTTTTTCATTAATATATGGATCCAAGAAAGGACTCCACGAAAAGATATCTTTTTTTCATTTTTAAGTCCTACTAAGTCTCACTGGAATTGTTTACATATTTTATATAGAAATTGATTAAATAATTTTTTAATATGATAACAATAAAATGGTATAATGTTTTTTCTTGGCTGGCTAAAATAATAACACTCTAGTTTAACCTCATATCGATTCAAAAATGTAACGAGTAAAAAATTACAATTTTACAAAGAACCAATTTAACTTTTTCTTAACATATTTTTTAATGTTTTTATTTATAACAACGGTTTTACTAACTACATATTCGACATAAAAAATAACGAAACCCTATTTAATATGATTACATTATATTAAAATAACACTATTCAAAACCTTGCTTCAATAATTGATTACGGTCTTGTTTCTATTTTAACGTAAAACCCGTCGACAAACTTTAGTGTCGTTGAAAACATTACACAAAGATTTTCTGGTTTAGGACACTTATTCGACGGATTAAAACGATAAGACCTAAACAGTGTTTAGATGACAGTTTTATTGACATATTTTTTAATGCTTTTAGCAGTTATTTAAATTATCTGTTTTACTAATCACGTTATTGGCAAAAAAATCTCTTTCCATTCTTTATTACAGAATATCTCATTTTGAAAAAAAAAAAAAACTAAAAACAAAGACATCGATATGAAGAATATAATACACTTACACATTAATGATGTCTAAAGCCGAGAGAATATGCGTTTAGGTAACTTAAAAAGTTTACAGAAAATATTTAGTAAAACGAGACAACACCGTCAAATTGGTAAGCCAAAATAATAACCATAACCGAAATACCTAAAATCTAAAAAATAACAAAACCCTATCTAATATCATTACAAAATATCCGAAAAGTACAATATAAATGTGTAAATAATTTTGGTTCTAAAATCTGCTTCAATAATTGATTACGGTCTCGCTTCTGTTTTAACGTAACACCCGTCGACAAATTTTAGTGTCGTTGAAAACATTACACGAAGATTTTCTGGTTTAGGACACTTATCCGACGGATGAAAACGATAAGACCGGACCAGTGTTGAGATGACTGTTTTCATTTGAAGCATTGCATATTTGTAACCGGGGCAATTCCTGTAACCAGCACTAAAAGGAAGAAACGAATACGGATGGCGACTGCGACATGCTTCGGGCAAGAAGTTGTCCGGGTTGAATTTCTCCGGATCGGGATAGATTTCCGCATTAAAGTGTAACAGAGCAGGGAAAGTTAGGAACGTTGACCCTGCAGATATTTTTAAAAATTACTTTACTTTGTTATTTTAAGTATCAATTGTGGATAGTTATCAAACAAATATATCTATGGCCGTACCTGCAGGGATTAAATAGCCTCCAATCATTGTTTCCTTTTCTACGTTTCTGCCAAATAATGGGGCGGGGGGGAAATGTCGCATAGTTTCTTTGATTACACGTTCCAAGTATTCCATGTTTTGTAAATCATCATAGGTAGGTTGTCGATCCGGATCGCCAGAAGAAAATATTGTCAATAACTCTTCCAACACCTATTATGAGGCAAAGAAAAAAATATACAATTTTTTCGTTACCAAGAATACCCAAAACGTGTAATTTTAAAATTTATATAAAAATACAAAATATGGGTTACTTTATTTTGTACATCCTGATGATGAGCCAACATAAATATTATACATGCGTTCGTCATAGCTGTTGTGTCTTGACCTCCTAAATACCACATAAAAAAAAAATAGAGAAAAACAATTCCTCTTAATACGCATGTTAAAATATATAATAAACATACGACCAATTCTTTCCAAAAGTCATTTTAAAAAAAAACACGTACCAAATATAACAGTAATTATTTCATCCCGTAATTGGTTAAATGTCAACTGATTTTCATTCTCGAGCATTATCTCAATAAACGATTTAGATTTAAGGCCAATACATTCTTCGTTATATTCTTCCTGATTGTTTATATTGTTCTTCAATTCTGTATTTTTTCTCTGAACTAAATAGTCGATGAAATTAAAAATTTTACTTTGACTTATGTCATGTTTACGTTTAAGGGACGATAACTGAAATAGACTTTTGTTCCAAAACCACGGGTGTGTTATTCGGTATTCCCAAACCTAAAACCAATCTTCAGTAAAAAAGGCTGACATGCCAACTCAAAAACATCATCGGCAAAGTACTTATTAGTTATAAAGTGTGCCTTGTAATATATATTCATTCCAGAAATCATGAAATATTGAACGTATACCTTTAGTATGACATGTAAATTCTCCACAAATACATGCTTTGCGTTTTTCTGTGCATTTAATTTTACACCCAAAGCGGTTCTTCCGATCATCTCCATTGTCGCCATACCGATTGCCCAGCTTATTTCACATTCATTTGTATTATTTTCCCGTTTCTCGTACAACACCTGGCTTAAGAATTTTGCTTCCTCGTAAAATATTGGTACGAACGATTTAAGCATCGAAAACTTAAACCCCGAAGATACCAATTTTCTATAAGTATGATATAAAATTTAAATGAAGTTTGAAAGTATGCAACTTTTTTTTTTAATATTTTCCATTATATTTTTCAATTGGATATACATATTGACACTTTATTTTTTTTTTGTTGTTTTGTTTTTTTTATAATTGTAAAAAAAATAAATATAATCTAAACTAAAAAAGTTCACCTGTTCATTTTCCATTCATGGAACATCCTGTTTGTAAATATTCCATCGCCCATAATTGATTCGGTTATCACATTATAAAGTTTACTTTTTTGGAACAGATTAGTATTAGTTAGAACCGCTTCTACATCTTCAGGTTTATTAGGAAATACGATTAAGTGATTAAAAAACCATCCTTTGAGTAAGGTATTCTCGTATCTATATTACAATTACAACAAACAAATTATTGTTGCTCTTAAGTTACTAGAATTTGAGAATATGAAAAGAGTATTAAATATAATGGATAGACGTGAATACAACATAATTACTTTCTGGAAATGTTGAATAAATTTATCAATAGTTTCTCAGGTCCTCCAAGAAAAATATGTAACATATCCATAAAAAAAAATCCATTTGGACCGGGTATTTGTTTTGCCAATGATGTATTTCTCCAGTTTACAATTTTAAAATAAAGAACTACTACAAATAATATTACCGCTATACGTATAACCATAATGTTATTCAGGCTTGTATTATTTATTATGTCCCACACCTGAAAATATCGTGTCCATTAATTTATTTAATTATTAGTTTTATTTACCATCGTATTTTTTTCGTTACATATAATTTGGTGCTATAACTAAAATATAATATGTACACATAACATTGTTTTAAAAATAATCAGATTACTTTTACCAAAATATGTATTGACTACAGTAGATAATATTGACTCGTTTCCATGGATAGTTGAAGTTGAAATGGTTTTTAAAAACACGGGCAAATTGTCATATTCATAAATTGCATTATACATATCACTTATTGCTTATTAAAATATTTGGTAGTTATGACCTAAGCCGGTTATAATACATTTTAAAAAACAAACGGCTAAGTCCATATGCCAAAATTTAAGTTTCCACATACAATAATTAGTAACATAATACTCACACAATATTCAACTAACTTTTCGGTGAATGATTTTTTTAAACAAATTTTAAATAAATGTTGTAAAAGTGTTTATTGATCTTAAAAATGTTTATATTTTAGTCATAAGTTAGATACGTTTAGGGTTAGGTTAGGTTAGGTTAATGACAATTATTTTATCTTACTCTAACTAAAGGAAGTGGTTAAGGTGATGCCCTGAGTCCAGACAAAAATTAAATTTAAAATATGGAACCTAATTAAAAACATCAATGTAAAAACAATACCTTCTCAGCCCTGCATCGATGCTAAAATGTTCATATATCAATAACTAATTTTTTTATTCTTTATTCTATATCTCTATGATAAGTTGGTTTTTTTCAAATTATACTTTAACTTTAAAAAAAACGGTGCAGAAAAAAAAAAGTTTAAGAGATAAAAAGTGGAAAATATTTTTTTTGTCACGAATTTCAATACAAACATTTAAATTTAATACATTAGATCATTGTCAATTTTTTTTACTTAAACCCTTAAGTCCTAATAATTAAAAAGTTTAGTTAATACATTTTCTTACCTGCCGAAACGTAATCATTTCATCGAATTGTATGTTTCATAAGTGGAAAACTTGAAGTTCTATTACTATATTCAATTTTTGGCAATTATACACAACGACTAACTCGGTTTTAAGTCATTCTTAACATTTATACTCTCATTTCATACGCACTCCCACGAATTTAAAAAAAAAAAAAAAAACAGAATGAAAAAAGTTATTCACTTTTTTGCACTGTATAAAATAAAGCCAGTATAATTGGTTTGGGGAGATAGTAAGATCGAAGCATAACCGTGTAATAGATTCAAGTCATTGTAAAGACAATAATTTGGTTAAAATTGTAAGTGTTTGTCTTAGTGTAACCGATATTCTTAATTTTGTTATTCAATTAGGTCATTACGCGTTATCACTGGAAACAATACTTTTACTGGTACTTGGGGGGGGGGGGGGGAGGAAAGTTGAAAAAGTTTACTGTTTTACAGCCAAAATTTGAAAAAAAAAAATCCATACAAGTTTTTAAGTCCTAGGGGGGTGCAAGTTTTTTTATTTTTTGCGTTCTTTAGCCGTAGTTTTAAGACCTTCAAGTTGAAAATTTGTCATTAGTTAGAACTTATATGTATTTATAACAATATTCAATAATGTAAAAAAGTTATAATTTACAAACAATGCTATCATATGCTTCATACGAGTAACACCATTTGTCATTCATATTTCAAAAAAGTAACATAGTTTGTCACATTTATATTACTACACAACTAAATAAATTAACAGTACACAACATAATTGTTTACACCACGTGGTGTTGGTCTAAAATATAATCTTCTTGTTCAAATTCTGTTGATGAAAATTAGTAAAAAAAAAACACTTAATACTATAATTTTCATATAAACACAATTTATATTATAAAATAAAAAATAAATAAATTAAAAACATATAAAAAATGTTAACTAGTATACATTTATTCAAATATAAATTTTTTTGGCTTATTAAAGCGTAATTAAAATCAAGGTTTAAAACAAAACAAAAAAGGTATAAATTACATTTAAAGCTGAATAAAGAATCATGAATTATTTATATTATTGTCATTTATATAATATTCTTGTTAAAATTCTGTTGATGAAAATTAGTAAAAAAAAACATAAATACTTAATTATTATCATAATGTAATTTTCATATAAACACAATTCATATTATATAATGTGAGTTTCACAGAGTATATTTTTGTGAACGTAAGTATAAATAATATCCGTTCAAAGTTTAATTTTTTTTTTTATATCTCTGAATATTCGTAAGAGTGTGTATGACATGAGAGTACAAATGTTAAGAATAACTAAAAACAGAGTTAGTCGTTAGGTAAAAAAATATTAACTTAACATTTCAATTGTTACGACTCAGGGTTAAATTAAAGAAATTCTCAAAATTTTTTAAAATCATTTTTATTGATAAAATGAATACATTCTAAATGACTTAATATACTATCATCTTCAGATCTCTCTAAATTACCTATTATCTGATATCTAACATTAAAAAGTTTATATAAACATTCGTAAAATAATCGTGTTTTTATTATAATTTCCATTTTTCATTTAATGTTATATAATATTTTACTAACAGGAAAAAAATCATTTAATCATTAAACCATTTAAAAAAAAAATGGCATTCGAACCTTATAAAAAGATACTAATCTCTCGTGGTGCAAGAATTAAAAAAAAAACTCAAGTTTGTCTTACTATCAATAAATAGTTGCTCATTTGTAAATACAGAACCTTCATTTAAAACTTTCTATCTTTGCTGGTTTATACTGTGCTTGGTTTGGACTGTACTGACTTGAAAATACTAACTACCGATTTGCATCGAAGCGTTTTTTCGAAAGTGATTTTATCACTTTCAGATTTAAAAATTCCTGTAAACCTGTGACCTCCCTGTCACCACTATGCCTCGACCCAACTATTCTCCGTCCCCACTATGCCCCGACCCCACTGTACTGGTTTTTTTTTTTTTGCAAAAACGTAGTGGATCAAATAACACATCTACGATGTCTTGTTATATTTTGTTGGAATGGTCGACGATTCATGTTTCAATCGTTTGTACTCCATAGTTTAAATTATAATCGCTTATTCTCAATAAAATTAATATTTATACTATATACTTATATACTATATATAATATATATTATATACTTCCATTAGAGCAATCTCACACAAACTATTTATACTTCATAGATTATATGATTTCAAAGCAATATTCTACTTATACTTCTATTTTACTAGATTGACAATGTACAAAATAAAATGCAACTAAAAAAACCTTTTCATAGATCCTTAAAATGTAAAGGGCGGGATAGTGAAACGGGTTTTCCCATTTAAATACATTAGAATATTGCCGTTTTATTGCCTTATCCTGTATAACAATTTCTTGTTATTTTCTAAAGAAAAATCGATTTTCTTACATTTAAATTAAAATAATACGTATACTGGTACTGTGATGGAGAAAACAATACATTTTAGCTACATATATTACTATATTTTCAATTTTAATCATCCAGAAGGAACTTAAGTAAAAAAAAAAAAAATTAAATTTGTGTAAACTTAAAGTCAAAAGTGGTAATTGAGCACAAAACTTAATAGTATCATTCTGCATAGATATACATAAAATTGTTTTAATGATTTGATAAATTTTTTTTTAAGATTTTAGGTGTTTTTGTTAAAATATACGCAATCTGCCAGAACACAGTTTTCCGGCAATTAAAAAAAAACTGTAGTGCCGAATTTTTCACCCGTTTAATATGTTATGGATCCATATGAGTTCCAACTACTGGCTAATTTTCAACCCAAAAGTTTTAAAATTACGGCTAAAAACCCCGAAAAACAAAAAAACTTGTACCCCCTCCCCTAGGGGGGTGGGAAATGAGTATGACGTGTGCGGGCATACCAAATAATTATTTCTTATACATTTCAACTCGATCCGACTACTTTTCTCGAAACTATAGCCAGTAAAAGTTCTAACTTAAAAACTCGTACGTTTTTTTTTTTTGTTTTTTCAACTTTCGTCTGTGAAGAATTTAACTTTTTCAACTTTTACCCCCCCAAAGTACAAACTAGACAAAATTTGTGATTTATAGAGTTGCTATTCGAAGGAATTGGTGAAATATTAAAAAAGTTACAGTGTATACAGCGAAAAAAAAAGCCCACATCAGAGTAAAACCAATACCTTCTCGCTTTGCATCGAAGCTAAAAAAAACGGTTTTTTTATATTTTCAAATTTTTTACATTATTCTTTGATATTTACCTCATATAGTTTTTATTTTCTTAGTTGACCTTAGAACTGGTCACAGAATTAATTTAGACTGGGTAGATTTTTTTTTACTTAGAAAATTAGAAAATACTGATTTTTGTGTTGTGTAAAATAATTTGCCATACTAGCTACCGTTTTACTCTATTATCACCAATAAAAGATATGTTATGAAAAAGTTAAAATACATAGGTATACCGTGATAACAATAATAACAACAATCTGTCCTAATAATTTGAATTAGTTTATATAAACGTAAATTTAGTTGTATATCCTTCCCATTGTAAGAAGCAACTATTAAATTAACACCCATTTATTTGCAATTTTACAGTCTTAAGGCGCACTTATAAATATCAAAGTATAATGGTCACTACCAATGTTACATCCGATACACCGTTAAATAATCATACAAACTCCGGATCAACCAAATAAATAACGTTGAGCGACATAAAAAAAGCTTCGAAATCTATCCAAACTTGTGTTTCGTTGCAAGATTGTTTATTGACAGTTATTCAAGCTAATATAAAGCTAGTTGAAACTACTGTTTCCGATTTTTATTCTAAATTGTCAAATCTAAATATATCTTCTCGACGCTAAAAATGTGAGTTTAACAACCGATGTCTCAGTTCTAGTACCTGGGACCAATTAGCACGGACTCAATTAAGAGCCCGAGAGCCAAACATTTTTTTTTTTTCCAGATATAAGGCATAAAAAAAAAATTAAAAAAAAATGCATTCATACGATTAGTTAACAAAGTTGCAAAGGACGTTGATTAGAAGCTCCGTTCTTTGAGTTAATCTTTGTCACTAGTGGGATGCTATTAAAAATTATTATTGTAGGTTTATCTGCTAGCCTGTCTGCGATGATCCTTCTCTCGGTAGGCTTAAAGTCTGGAAGACACATAGATTGACATAATAGAAGTGGCTTCCTGTTTATTACAATTTTTATGTGATTGTGAATATATATATAACGCCATAAATGAATATGGCGTTTATAAAACCGTATAGTATTAATATGATGGCTGGCTAATAGAACGGTGATCCAAATTTATACTTATGTCGATGACATATTTATAAAATGTTACAAGTAAAAAACTATCGTTATTCAGAGAACCGTTTTAACTTTTTGTTGACATAGTATTTAATGCTTTTAGCAGTTATTTAAATTAAAAGAAAACACAGAAAATATTTAGTAAAACGAGACAACACCGACAAATTGGTAAGCCAAAATAATAACTGTAACCAAAATACCTAAAATCTAAAAAATAACATAACCCTAACTAATATCATTACAAAATATTCAATGATACAATATAAATATGTAAATAATTTTTGTTCTAAAATCCGCTTCCATAACTTATTACGTTCTCGCTTCTATTTTAACGTAACACCCGTCGACAAACTTTAGTGTTGTCGAAAACGTTGTACGAAGATTTTCTGGTTTAGGACACTTATCCGACGGATGAAAACGATAAGACCGGACCAGTGTTGAGATGACTGTTTTCATTTGAAGCATTGCATATTTGATACCGGGGCAATTCCTGTAACCAGCACTAAAAGAAAGAAACGAATACGAATGGCGACTGCGACATGCTTCGGGCAAGAAGTTGTCCGGGTTGAATTTCTCCGGATCGGGATAGATTTCCGCATTAAAGTGTAACAGAGCAGGGAAAATTGCGAACGATGACCCTGCAGATATTTTTAAAAATTACTTTACTTAGTTATTTTAAGCATCAAATGTGCCTAATTATCAAACAAATATATCTATGGCCGTACCTGCAGGGATTAAATAGCCTCCAATCTTTGTTTCCTTTTCTACGTTTCTGCCAAGTAATGGAAGAGGTGGAAAATGTCGCATAGTTTCTTTGATTACACGTTCCAAGTATTCCATCTTTTGTAAATCATCATAGGTAAGTTGTCGATCCGCATCGCCAGAAGAAAATATTGTCAATAACTCTTCCAACACCTATTATTAGGCAAGAAAAAAAAATATACAATTTTTTCGTTACTAAGAATACCTATAATGTGTAATTTTAAAATTGATATATGAATACAAAATATGGGTTACTTTATTTTGTACATCCTGATGATGAGCCAACATAAATATTATACATGCGTTCGTCATACCTGTTGTGTCTTGACCTCCTAATACCACATATAAAAATAAAATTTATAAAAAACATCTCTCAAAAACATGTTAATTAATATAATACACATATCGCCAATTCTTCTTAATAACAATAATAAAAAAAACACTTACCAATCATAACAGTTATTATTTCGTCCCGTAATTGGTTAAATGTCATCTGATGTCCATTCTCGAGCATTATCTCTATAAACGATTTAGATTTAAGGCCAATACTCTCTTCGTTATGTTCTTCTAGATTGTTTATATTATTCTTCAATCCCGTAATTTTTCTCTGAACTAAATCGTCGATGAAATTGTAAATTTTAAGTTGGCTAATGTCATGTTTGCGTTTAAGGGACGATAACTGAAAGATACTCTTGTTCAGAAACCAGGGGTGTAACATTCGGTATTCCCAAACCTAAAACAAATCTTCATTAAAAAAGACTGACATGCCAACTCAAAAACATCATCGGTACAGTACTTATTAGTTATAAAATGTGCCTTGTAATATAGTTTCGTTCCAGAAATCATTAAATATTGAACGTATACCTTTAGTATGACATGCAAATTCTCCACAAATTCGTGCTTGGTGTTTTTCTGTGCATTAAATTTTACATCCAAAGCGGTTCTTCCGATCATCTCCAATGTCGCCATACCGATTGCCCAGCTTATTTCACATTCATCTGTATTATTTTCCCGTTTCTCGTACAACACCTGGCTTAAGAATTTTGCTTCCTCGTAAAATATTGGTACGAACGATTTAAGCATCGAAAACTTAAACCCCGAAGATACCAATTTTCTATAAGTATGATATCAAATTCAAATGAAATTTGTAAGTATGTAATTTCATGTTTTAATATTTTCCATTATATTTTTCAATTGGTTATACATATTGACACTAGATTGTTTTTTCAGGTTGTCTTTTTTATAATTATAATAAAAAATAAATCTAATCTAACACTAAAAAAGTTCACCTGTTCATTTTCCATTCATGAAACATCCTGTTTGTAAATATTCCATCGCCCATAATTGATTCGCTTAACACATTATAATGTTTAGATTTTTGGAACAGATTAGTATTAGTTAGAACCGCTTCTACATCTTCAGGTTTTTTGGGAAATATGTATAAGTCATTAAAAAGCCACACTTTGAATAAGGCGTACTCGTATCTATATTACAATTACAACAAACAAATTATTGTTGATCTCAAAGTACTAAATATTGTGATTAATGAAATGTAACAAATAGGATTGTGTAAAGCGTAATTACTCTCTGCCAACTTTTAAAATATTCTTCAATAGCTTTTCAGGTCCTCCAAAAATTATAGGTAACATTCCCACCAAAAAGAATCCATCTTGACCTGGTATTCGATTTGCTAATGTTGTCTTTCTTCGGTTTAATATTTTTAAAAAAAGAACTACTAAAAATAATATTACCGTTATAAGTATAACGACAATGTTATTCAGGCTTGTTTCATTTATTATGTCTGAGACCTGAAAAAATCGTGTCCATTAATTAGTAGTTTTACTTATCATGGTATTATTTTCGTTACATATAATTTAGTGCTATAACTAAACGATAATATGTACGCATAACATTGTTAAAAAAAAATCAGATTAACTTTACCAAAATATGTATATACTACAGTAGCTAATTAGCTAATACACTAGCATTCACTCATTTCAATGGATAGTTAAAGTTGAAATGGTTTTTAAAAACATGAGGAAATTGTCATATTCATAAATCACATTATAAATATCACCTATTGTTTATTAAAATATTTGGTAATTTTGACTTAAGCCGGTTATAATACATTTTAACAAACAAACGGCTTAGTCCATATGCCAAAATTTAAGTTTCTACATACAATTATTAGTAACATAATACTCACACAATATTCAACTAACTTTTTTTAAACAGATAATGATAGTCATATGCCATTTGTATTAAACTCAAATATGGGCTTTAATCTTTTATATTTTGGGTTACCGTTTTGTAAGAACACATCAATTTTTTATGACAAAATAATACATTTATGGAAATCCTTTTTTTTTTTTTTTGTTAAATGTCAGCGATACGCATATTATGAAATTTTCAATTTGGGATTTTCAGTGAAACCTTAGTGGAAGTTTGGGAAATAGGAATTCATAATAATATGTATATGTTTAAAAATGTATTGATCAAAAAATGTTTTTATTTTAGTCATAAGGTACGTTTAGGGTTAGGTTAGGTTAATGACGATTATTTTATCTTACACTATCCAAAATTTGGAAATTATAATAAAAACACGATCATTTTACGAATGTCGCTATAAACTTTTTAATTTTAGATATTAGATAATAGACAATTTAGAGGAATCTGAAGATGTTAGTATAATTTTAGTGTAATCATTTTAACAATAAAAATGATTTAAAAATATATGAGGATTTTCTTTTTGCTTAAAATCCTAGTCATAATAATTGTAATGTTAAGTTGATAGTTATTTACCTGCCGAGACAAAACCATTTCATTTAATCCCATTTTTTTTACGACGAAAACTTAAGATTCTAATTTTCTAAAATAAATTCAAAGCAACTATACACGACGACTAACTCGGTTTATAATTATTCTTACATTTTATACTATCATATTATATGCTTTCCCACTAGTATTCAATTTTCAATAGGTATTATTTATGAGTACGTTCATAAGTTCTGTGAAATAATTATGCCAGCATAATTGGGTCGTGGTCTAGTAAGGGCGAAGCATAACTGAATAAATCAATCCAAGTCATTGTAAAAACAATGATATGGTTAAAATTGTATTATTCGACTTTGTTTACTCGATAAACTTTATTTATTATTTTGTTTGTTAATGTTAATACAATTATAACTTAGGGAGGCTACCGCATCTAAAAAAATGCAACAACAAATTATTTATAAAAATAAAAACAGTGAAGAGCAATAATAACTGTTTTTTTAAAGCGCAAATAAATTTACATTTAAATTTCACCAAAAAAAAAAAAAAATCAGCTTGATAATTGCATCTCTTCCATAAACTGTATTTATTCTATAATATTATAAAAGAAAATGTATTTTCAGCAAATGTAATTTTAATTTTAAACGACACTACACGTGATGAATATTTGATATTTTGCATATTGCTTATGTAATAATGAGAAATAACGCAAGATGGTTTCTTTATAGTGTAATTGTAATATTGTGTACTTAATAATTTCTAAACAACAAAGTTTTTTTTGACTATTTATTTTGAAACCTTGTCTGTTGTCATGTGGTGTAAATACAAAATCATGCAGTGTAGGGTTAAGTAATTATACATTGTAATTATAATACAACTGACACTAAATTTAACTATTGGACGTCTTGGGTTTTGCCTGTTTTGTACTATTTAATAAATAAACATATGTATTTTTTAACGTATCATATGAACTATAATGTTTGTTAGGTAAATAGAAATTTATAACAATATTAGAATGTTTATATTTGTCAATATACAATGAGACCATTGTCTAACAAAAGTATTCAAATTCATTTAACACTTAAATACCCGAAATCAAAAACTCAACTACTTGTTACTGTATTTCAAACGCCCTCAAAAAGCCATAACTCACTTGAAACAATGTAAGGACATGATGTTTCTGTGTCTCCCTTAATGTGGTGTGGTTCTTATCTAATGGTAGGATCTAAAATTTGAAATCTGATATTTTTCTTTAGAAAAAAAAACACATTTAAATTCGTAGGATTGACAAATTAGATTGTGTACAATAAATATGAAAGTCATTGAAATGTCTTTGGAATAAATTTTTGTCTATTTCGGGCATTGAGGCTTTCAAGTCAACTCGTTTACTGCATTGTTATACATTTTTATACGGAAGTTAATGCGTATACATATTTTATTCGTTTTAATTGGAATCTAAATAATCCCACGTCATTTGTTTTAAAGTTTGCATAACAATTTCGGTTTTTTTCATTGTTAGGCATATTTGTTTATTTTTATTTGTTAAGCACAACCGGTATGTTTTATTTACGTCAAGGCTTCAACAACTGCGGTTATTAGCCAATTATACGTTTGTAGACTCAAGGACTAAGTGATATTAAGTTCTTTACAAAAGGACAAAAGGTAAAGTTCTTAGAGGCTAACTGCAATGTTTATTTTAGTTAAAAAATATTTTTTTTTTAGTGCTGTTCTCTTCATTTAAGGCTCCTTCGAAAATGATCGGCATATATATGGTTTTTCATTTGTCTAGATGCTTTGAGCTGTCCTGGATTATACAGGGTATTCCAGCATGAAAGGTAAGTAATAGGTGATTGAAAATCTGGGGGATCCCCAAATAAGCCCCCCGTTTTCATTTTTTCGATAAGTCAAAAATTGAAGGTTTCGACAGTCAAGTAAAAAAATAATGACCTAAAAAACCAAAAAATTAATTCATGTTATTCAGTGCAAAATGTTCACCTTAGAAGAGGGGTCACATCAATTTCAGTCTTTTTCAGACCCTAACTCTTCTCTTATCACTTATCCTATCATTTATTTCTTACCTCTAGTCTCTAATCATTTGTCTCCTATCACTTATTTTTTATCATTTATTTCTCATCTCTTGTTTCTAATCATTTATCTCTAATCTCTTATCATTTATCTTAAATCTCTCATAATTTATCTCTTACCAATTATCTCTTTTCTTTTATCTCTTATCAATTATGTCTTAGCATTTATCTTTTATCACTTATCATTTATTTCTGGTCTCTAATCATTTTTCTCTTATCATTTTTTGAGTTAGAAGCCGAAAGGGACTGAAAATGATGTGACCCCTCTTTTAAGGTGAGCTTTAGCACTGAATAACAGGGCGTAATTTTTTTTTCTTAAGTCATTGTTTTTTTACTTAATTGCCGAAACCTTCAATTTTTGACTTATCGAAAAAATGAAAATGGGGGGCTTATTTGGGGGTCCTCTAGATGCCCAATCACCTATTACTCACCTTTCATGCTGGAACACCCTGTATGTTGGATTCAGTAAGTTGGTTATAGTTAGGTCGACTTGGCAATTATCGCAATGGGTAGGAGGATCCTTATTTGTTTGTTATGCTTGTGTTAACAGAGAATGTCCCATTCTGGCTTTTGTTAAGGTGACTTCGTGCCGTCTTACTAAGTGTGAGGGAATAGGCCATTTTCAATAATTTTCTTAAAATTTTTAAGTTTATGAGTGAGTGGCGTAGAATCCAAATAATTTTGCCATACCATGTTTATTTTTTTTTAAATTTAATTTAATTTTAAAAAACCATCATAAAATACATAGAATACAAAAACATCAAGTTAGTTTACATGATTATCTATCTCTTTTAAGCTATAATAGCTTGTGTTAGAGATAGAGAGTAATTAATTAATAATTAAGAACACAAATTATATCATTAAGTAACAAAGTAATGTGATAAATAAAATAGAAGTAAAAAACCAAAAAAAAATTTAAAAATTTTAACAATAGAAAAATTGTGAGTATGAGATGTAATATTAAATATAACAGAAACATATGAATGACTTAAACTATTTTAGAAAACTATTATTAATACACAATTTCTTTAACATTACTTTTAGAATAGTGAATATTTTTTTTATAATGCCACGGCAAAGATTTAAAATACATAGGTTCTAAATAATTAACAAAAGATTTATAAAAACAATTTGACAGGTATATTATACCGTATATTTTCTCTATTACCTTCCAACAATTTATAATTTTTACCTTGTATGAACCTTTTACAAGTGTGCGAAATGTCAATTTTTTTATGAAGAAATCTGGTTGGTAAAATACCCAGCTCTCTATAATTTTGAGTCGTAGAATGTTGCAAGGAGTTCTTGTTCAAACAAATTCTTATTATGTTATTCTGGTTTACTTGCAATTTATTTAGAACATTATCGCCTAATCCCTCCCCCCCATACTAGCATTCCATATTGGTTATTGATTGATATAGGGCAAAATAAATTACATATTAATATCAAAATTGGGCAATATCTGTAGTAATATTTTGTGATTCACAGTATCAAATGCCTTTTTTAAGTCCAAGGATACAGCAATCACCTTGTTACTGTTATCTAATTCATTAAAAATAAACTAGGTCGTACTAAATAGAGCATCATCTAATTGTATTATTCGACTTTGTGTACCCGATAAAATTTATTTATAATTTGGTTTGTTAATGTTAACACAATAATAACATTGGGTAAGTCTACCGTATCTAAAAAAATGTAACAACAAATTATTTAAAAAAGTAAAAACAGTGAAGAGCAATAATAACTGTTTTTTCAAAGCGCAAATAAA